CTCCTCGCTTCAAAGCGCTGACAGAATTCCTTCTGTAATCAGGACGGGAAGGCACGCGGTTTGGGCAGGCAAAGAAAAGGTTGGCTCATTAAGTCCAACCCATTACCCAAGTGTCAAGTGCTCCCTAAAATGGCTCACCGCTAATTTGAGAAGTCACCTGGTGGCAGCGGGTCACCAGCTCCCTCTACAGACAATCAGGCCACAGCCGGACCCCCGCAGGACCGCGACGGCACACGCATAACAAAGAGTGCCTTTAAACTGCCATTGAGGAGCAGAATTTCGCGATAATTATCCCCATGGATGCCGAGCCCTTTGTCTCCGTCTGGCCCTCTCCTCCATCCCGGCTGCCTGGAGAACCGGCAGCGATCGCTTCGCGTTACCCAAAGCATCTCTTTTGTTTCCTTCGGGAGAAACAAAGAGGCAGAAAAGCGCTAGAAAACCCATCAGCGGGCTGTAGGGAAAGTTCAGCAGCCGAACCTGGCGGCTTCTGGGGACCGAAGCGCCAACGACGCCGGCAACGTCTCGGCTTCACCGCATCCCTGCCAGCATCCCCCGCGAGTTGGGATGTGGGTGTCCGGATGGGACATGCAGGACTGGAGAGCAGCACGTCCCCGGCACCGCCACGCTGCTGAGTGGCCATCCTTGCCCTCACCTCGATGTTTCAGCGTCTCCGCCTGCAGGAAGGGCCGTGCGTAGCTGGAGGAGCAAAGCGGACTCTAACCACGTTCCTCAAACAGCTCTGCCAGGCACAGCTTCGACTCCGAGCCCCCTTCACCTGCGATGCTGGGAACTTGTCTGGGCAAACAGCACAAGATATATATATATTTGGTCCTTTTGCCAGTTAATATTACACTCTTACTTTGAACCTAATGAACATTTTGTTCTTTCTTTCTGAGATTTCTCAGTATTCGTAGGTGAGAGAAATACATTCCCCCTTCTCCTACCCGTACAAGGCATATCCTTCCAAAAACAATCCAACTCGCAGGCAGGGGGCAGGGCACGTGTAAAAGTGGGCAAGCTGTTCGCTCTGCACAATAATTAGAGAGTGCTTCGATGCCAAGGAAAAGGAAAAAAAGAGTTGCACCTGCCTGCAGCCCCCAGCCCTGTGTGCCAGGGCCAGCTGCCTGCAATGGGGAGTGCAGAGCAAGACAATAAACCATCACCCAAATAATCTCCATCTGAGGAAGGGCTGAGCAAAAAGCCGTTGGTAGTTTCCAAACATCTTTTGCACACTGAGAGCTCCTACAAAACTTTGAGGCTCCTCTGTGCCGTCATGCACATTTTGTCACACGCACTTGTTGTCACACAGTTCCCTTTGCCTACAACTCCTGCTTGCAAGCAATTCTGCTATCATGCGAGCCCAGAAGCTGGCTTTCCTACATCCACAATCATAGCATCATTGAAAAAGACCTTTAAGATCACCCAGACCAATCACCAGCCCATCCCCACCATGCCCACTGACACGTCCCTCAGTGCCACATCTCCACAGTTCTTCAGCACCTCCACAGACTGCAGACTCCACCAACCTCCCTGCCCAACCTGTTCCAAAAAACCACTGTTGAAGCCCAGGAATGAACCACAGACCTTTAGATCTTCCCAGCATCATGCTGACCATCCCTGCACACAGGGATGAGCTGCATTTTGCACCAGGCTCCCCTGCTTAGAGCTCTGAGGTGTGCAATGATCAGTGAGCGGCCCCTTGTGTGAATGGGGTGAAGGAGTTCAGACATGGAGCACATCTGGGATTTCTGATGTACAGTGGGGATAAAGAAATGCGTGAGAAAAGAGAAGTAAGGAGAAAATGGCATTTTGTCTTGCTTTATGATTATTTCTTATTACAGCCGGGTCTCACCTTTGCTCTGTGTCCCAGCCCACACTGTAGCTTGTCTACAAAAATCAGCATGGGACTGATGCCCACTTATCAGAGGGCAGCAGATGTGGGGCAGCGCAGGGCTGAGCAGTGCACAGGGCTGTGCACGTTGCCTCCTGCACTGGCAGAAGCGTGGTACTGAACGGGCTGCTCGTTATTCCTCTGCAACTCCTCTGACCCTGTTGCTGTCGCTGCCGCTGAACAGTTTGGCAGCACTTCCTCGGAGAAGTACAGCAACAAACTCAGATGCCAGGGCTGGGAGATAAGCAGCCAGCAAACATCCAATTTCCATACAATGTACAGAAAAGAGAGGAGGAAAAAAAAAAAAAAAATAAAGAAAGCCACTCACTGGGAATCCCTAATGAACCAGGGGGAAAAGCAGAACGAGCAACTAACAAAACAGAATGGATTTTCAATAAGGGCACAGCAAGTTCTAGCGGACAGATCTAGCAGATAGGAGAGGAGAGAGAAGAAAGAGCCGAACCAGGGAAAGGTGAGGGGAGAAAAGCAACGGGATCAGAGCAGCGTGTCCGATGGGGAGGATGCTTCCTAAGCATTTCATTTCCTTTATTATTATATAGATGGTGCCAGCTGATTGCAGAGCAATAATCCATCCCGCCTGGTAACCTACAGGCTGGATGCTTCTGGGCACTTCTTGCCTGTGGCACTCAGCACAACACAACAATGAAACAATGACAAACATCCCTGCCTTCCCTTTCTCTTTTCAGCCAAGTGCCAGGTACTTGTTTTGATACCGAACGGTGGAAATGCCACCCGCTCCTATGCAGAAAGAAGGACCCTGTGCCATTACAAGTGCCCCCCATGTTGTCGTGATTATTTGACTTGTTTTCTCACACTGCTGCAATGAGTTCCTCAGGTTAATGCAAATCCTCCTCTCCGTTCCTGTTCCTGTCACTCCCTAATTTCCTAACCAGCCTTCAGAGGTGGTACGGGGTGGGCAGGGCACTGCTCCTCTCCCTAGATTTTGGGGTTCCTTTAGTCTCTGCCGTACAGAGGCACCGGGAAGGGCAATCACCCCCATCCCACATCGCACCTCCTCGCTCGCCTGGCGGGTCCCTTTACCCATCGCCCGGTGCTCCACCACGCCCATCCGCCCGCTCCCCCGGGCTGCCACTCGCCCCTCCATCAGCCCGTCCACACCTGAGCGCTGCCCGCACCCAAAGCCCTCTCTCCGAGCCGCTATCCGCTCCAATACCTCCGAGCAGCCTGCTACCTGCCCGGCATCCCTACCCGGACCTGCGAAGGATCGAGCAGCCCTACCCGGACCGCTATTCAACGCCCCTAAGAGAAGCGGTGCGGCTCCAGTCGGGCTGACAACCCCATTGTCCCTAACGGGACCGCCGGGTCCCGCTTCCCACCCGGACCGCGCTGCCCCACGCCGCCCGAACCAACCCCACTCCCCACCCGCTATTTCCGCGCTACTTCCCACTTCTACGAGCGAGAAACCGGGAGAGCCGGAGACAAAGAAACTGTCCGGGCGCACCCCCCTCCCTCACCGCTCCTCCTCCTCCGACACCCCTTCCCTCCGTCAATTTACCCGTTCTCCTCCTCGATCTCCGAGATGTCGGCGAAGATGAGGAAGCCGACGAGCAGCGTGAGCAAAGCCAGCGTCCAGCCCCGGCACGGCAGCGGCATGGCTCCCGGGCTGGGCCGCTCCGCGGGGTGCGGAGCTCGGCTCCGCGTCCCGGTTCGGCCCCACAGCCGCCGCCGCCGCCGCCCGGCGGGGCCGCTCCGCCCCTCGGCGCCCGCCGAGCTCCCGTCCCGCCCCGCCCGGCGTGGGGAGGGGAGAGGAGGGCAGGGGTTGAGCCGCTTCCCCCCAGCGGACAAAGTTTGCTGCCGCCCCGCACCGGGGGGAGCCCTCCGAAGGGCCGCCCCCAGCCCCGCGGTGGGGTTTCGCCGCCCCTCCTCTGCGGGGTCGGAGGGGAACAATGCGAGGTGGGCGCCTTTGCGTTTTTCTGCCGATAACGCGCGGCTTGTGGGATGAGAACAGCGTTGTAAATAAAGGTGGTTGAGAACTAATCACACCTGTCTATGTTGCTATTGATTCACGTTTTGGTAACAACAGTTCTTCGCGCTCCATCAGTATTTAGCGCGCCGGCCTTGCCTTTACTCTGGAAATCTCAGGAGACTTCGGGCAGACAGAAATCACCGAGCAGAAACCGCTTCACAGCACCAGGGTGCGTCCCTGGCAGCCCCAGCGAGCATCCTAACACTGGGCTTGGCACTGAGAGAAAAAGGGCTGTGGTGCCTCTTGCCTTCTGCACACAACACGTATGGAAATGGACATTGGGAGGAAGGAGAACAGGTCTGGGCCAAAGAACGGCCAAAACTGCACCGAAGGGTCTTTGCCCTGCAGGCCTGATGTCTGTTAGTGCCGCACCATCCACAGGGAGCAGAGGGTCAGGTAAGGGCAGCCTGGCACAGCATCCCCAGTGCCCGGCGCGATGCTTTGGACCAGAAAGTTGCTGAGGACCAGGAAGGAGTTGTTGAGGTCCACGCACCGGTGAGCTGGAGAGGGGCGCAGCGATTTTGTAATGCAGCAGATAGGAGAAGCACAGATGTGGTGTGAGAGTGAGAGTGAGAGAGAGAGAGAGAGAGAGAGAGAGAGAAATAGAGAGAGAGAGATACTAATTGCTTACATATTTAAAACAGCATCTTTCGGCTGAATGGGAGGCTCCATTAAGCAAAGCAGAGCTATTAACTGGGGCCACTTGGAAAGCTGCCATCCTCTGTGTTGTGCACGGCTTTTTGCATCGACACAAAAGTACACTGCTGAGGGCAGGAGGGACTGCTGGCTGCATCCTGGGGTTCCTAGCAGGGATGCTGAGGTGCTCTGTGTGTCACAGCGATGTCTGATGGGGGTCTGTGCACGCACTCCATGGAGCACTTCTCCCTGTGTGGGGATTAAATGGTGGATGGAGCTCATCAGAGCCAATGTCCTGTCCTAGGGATTTCTGCAACTCCTGTTGTAGGAAGAGGAGATGACCAAATCAGCCTTACGGTTATAGGTAAAAAAATACAACACAGGTGAGTGTGGTACAATTACACTGTATTGTATGGAAAATTTACAGTCTAGTATACAGCTTTTGTAATAGAACATATTCAGACCCCTGGAGAGAAAGTGATTTTAGACAATTTAAGTAGCCCCATAATTTACCTTCTGCATACATCTGAGGAAACGCTCATTTTTCTTCTGCTTTATTCTTTCCGGGCTCCTTTTGCTCACCATATTTGGAGCCCCACAGCATGCTGAGCAGGGGTGACCTTGCAGGTGCCACTGGGGCCTCCTGAGATGTAGGATCCCTGCATCTCAGGGAGCACTGCAGCTGGTTCCCGCTGCTCACAAATCCTCGAGAATGCAGATGGAGATATCTGCTCCTGCATCTCTTTCAGCTTCGTCCCAGGTGGTGGCTCAGCTTCTTTTGTCTGATCTTTCTGTTTCGGTGGCGACGTGCAAGAATGGAAAGCTCAAAGGATGCTGAGCAAAAAGTGGGGATTGTTCACGGTGTGATGGGATGGAAGCTTTTTTAGGGGAAAGGATGCCTGGTTTGCTGAGATGTTGAGGAGTAACTGGTGTTAAAAGACATGCTGGGATTTGACTCTGCTTCTGCATAAGGCAATGGCAACGCTGCTATTAGCTATCTCCCTCGCAGGGAGAGCTATGAGCTAAGCTCAATGCCTTTCACTGGGGAGCTCCATTGCTAGGGGTTTGCATAAAGAGCTGTGAGGTGCTGCTTGGAGTCATCTGTTGCTTTATTCCTATGAAAAATGTAGGTCAGAGAGAAAGGTCATCTTTCAGCTGGTTGGGCTTTAAAGGCAAGGACCGGACCCTGGGCACACAGCTGGGCTTTGAGCAAGGAGGCTGCCAGCTCTGTAGGCAATGCAGGAACAGTGCAGAGTGCTGAACTGTTTTGTAATCAATTAATGAGGCTTTGTTAGCATCCCCAAGTGCAGCTCCGTACTGAAAACCTGGGGATTCTGTTGCATTGCTGAGGGCTAAATAGTGTACGATCAGGACTTGTACAATAGCAGTAGCAAGGAGTGAGCATAAAGGTACTGAGCACAGGAGCACATTTTACTCTCCGTTTGCTCCAAGTCCATCCTTTACAGCATTCTGTCCAGAACTGTCTGATGAGCAGGCAGCGCATCCCAGTTTAATGCATTGCTCTTTAAGAACTGCAAACTGCTTTGGAGTAATTTCCATAGTTCAAGTATTCACCATTGCACACATTCAATCCACTATGAAAACCTCACATGATTCAACTTAAACAGGTGCGTAAATGCTGCAGGGTTGGGTCCATGAGCATCCGGAGCCACAATTTTACATCTCATTTGTAAGATGGGTTGCAGGAAGATGAGAGCAAAGTGTAGAAAATAGACTGTTGTGATAGAGAGGTATGTTCTGAAACAGAGTAAAAGGCTATTACAGCTTCTCATTTCTAATAATTTGAGGAAATAATTTTGCATCCTGAACACTTGCAGTAAATACAATATAAGGTGTACTGAAAAAGAGTCTTTGCATAAGAGCAAAGGGGACTGCACAAGCACAGCATTTCATTTTGCAGCTTTGAAGGGAGAAAAGAAAAGAAATGGCACTTTTACGTTTTCTTTTGACCTTTCAGAAATAGCAGGAATATGTAACAGCCATATTCGCCAACAATAGCTGGGAGGATTGAGGGAATAAGAGTTAAACACCTGGGGACATTTACAAACAACTGACAGAGAGGGGATGAATTTAAGATGTGGATATGAAAGGCGCAGATATGCAGAGAGCGCAAAAATGATACATATTTAAAATGTTTTTAATCCATGCGAGAAGCACCATCGAGAAAGGCAGGTCGAGTGAGCAGAGGAGGGCCATGAAGGTGATCCATTGGGCCAGGCCCATGCTGTGATGAACGGTGGGACCTGGAGCGGGAAGAGGTGTCTCAAGGGACCTTTCTCCTTCCAATCCGTAAGGCTGTAAAACCTTCATCATAGCTGTCAGACAAAGTGAACAAAGTTTACAGCCCATTTTATGCAGCTAAACAGCACTTGGGTGTGATAAACAGCCATGATGGATGGGAGCCAGTATTAAGCAGGGTCGCAACATTTCATTGCCTCATTATAGGCAACAAGCTGGCCTCTGGGTGTGCTCCCTAATGAAACCTCCATACCTGAAGGCAGGCAACTGCCATGAAGCATGGTATGTCCTCTCCTCCCCAGTAGGGCCTTTAGCAGGAAGGGAGGAGCTGATGCTGTAGGCTCAACATCCTCCATCTTCCCCTTCCAGTAGAGCACCCTGGTGAAATATTGGGCGTTAGCATTCTATCATAAAGAGCACAGCCTCTTTTCATTGTCATGGAAAAACTCCAGGCTCTGTTTACCCTTGGATACATCTTTTCCAGCCAGATCCTGAGGCAGCTAGCTCCAACAATAAGCTCATTCACCTCCCTCCTGGAAGAAAAAGCAGTCTTCTGAAAGGGCTCCCAAATGCCGAACACATTCATAAGTCTTAAGCATGAATATAGTTCATTATTAATGCACAGCACTGAGACACAGCCCTAGCTGAGAGGTGGCCTGATGGTGGTGGTCAGAAAGATCCAGGACTTATCACAGAATCATAGCATCGTTTGAGTTGGAAGGGAGCCTTCAAGGCCATTTGGTCCAACTCCCCTGCACCTACAGCTGATCAGGTGCTCGGAGCCCCATCCAGCCTGACCTGGAGTGTCTGCAGGGATGGGGCATCCAACACCTCTCTGGGCAACCTATTGAAGACTTGTGTTGTCACTCCCTGCTGAACTGCCTCAACAAGCAGCCCCACTTCTCATCCTGTACGATGGAAACTGGAGCCCTGACAGTCCTTGGGTGGACACCCAAAACCCTCAGTGATTTTCTCTTCCCAGGGATTTTTGCCACTGGAAGAAGTAATCCAAGCCTATTGTGGTCTTTATGACCAAAGTGATACAGCAGCAACAAAAAAAGCTTTGGTGGTTTGTAAGAAAGTGTGAGGAAAATTAAACTGTATTAATTTCAAGCTCTATTAGGATTTTAAGAAAGTAAAATCAATAGAAAAGGATGGACTCAATAGGGAACATGACCTTATTTTCCCACTGTCTGAAGGAGAAGTGCACACAATAGAGAGACAAAAATACGCATATCTATAAAATCAGATCGGTTTCTTCAGTGTAAAAGGAGAGAAGTTAAAATGCTTTTGTAAGCCGTCATTTTTGACTGACACTTAGGAGACATGTCCGCAAGGAAAAAGAAAGGCAAATGCAAAAGCAAAAAAAAAAAAAAAAAAACAGCAAAAAAAAAAAACACCTTAAACTGAACACCATCAACAAAGAAACCCAACCCCATCCATTAGTCTGTTCTCTTTCTTTCTCTCCTGCAGTAAATGGTAAAATGGTGTGATCCGTGCAATATTTCATCAAATATGACTTACCATTGTCAGAGCAAAATGTTTGATATAAAACAAGAACGATCTTTCTTTCTTTTTGGTCAGATAAGCTGGTTTGGATTAATAAAAATGCCACCTCACAATGATATTGATAATTTGCATGTGAAAAGCCTTCTACCTGGTAATGAAAACAATTTTTCAGTTTTACCACCACTAGTCGCAGCAGATAAGGTCTGCCGTTCTCCCCCTCACAATTAACCACACGCACACACAAAAAAATGGGAAAGGTAGAAAATGTGTGACAACTGCAAACTGCCCGTTGTCTGAACCCGATGCTAAGGCAGTGAGATCTGCAAATGGATGGAGCTGGCACGCTTCTCCTCTCTTGAAACCTGTGTGCCCACTCTTCACCCATGCTCTTCCCACCCCACAGAGGAAAAATGCTCTCTGCAAGGCCATATTTTCAGTGACTCAGGATATGTGATGTGTGCTCAGTTAAACATGAAGCATTCCCCTTTCTTGCATATAACCAGCAATTATTTGAATTTAACTGCACACTCCTCTGAGATCATTCCAAATTGATAAGAATTTCTCACTTACAATGCTAGATGTAAAGCGTCTGATAAACAGATAGAGGTTTCAGATGCCAAATTCAGACCCCATCTGTTTTTGAGTTTTGTCTTTTATCTCAGTTCAAAGCTCCTAAAACGCGGCTTTTCTTTCTGCAGAACACCTTCATCAGTGCACTGCTCTCTGAATTCTCTGGCCCTTAAAGCACAGGTCAAATCTGAATCTCATTGTGGCCTGCTTCGAGTTGGCAGGTTTGATTAATTTTGTCCTGTACTTGACAGAAGCCCAATTACTTTCCACAACAGCGACACATAGGTAAATCTACCTGGTTTGGATAAACAATTCTGCATGGGAAACGAAAAAATAAACTGCATATGGGCACAGAGCAGATTTCCAGGGAAGTCTTGTAAGATTAATTAGGGATAACAGGCTCTGTTCTCACCCGTGAGATGTCCAAGTGAAGTCCTGCCCAGAGAGGTTGTGGATGCCCCGTCCTTGGAGGTGTTCAAGGCCAGGTTGGATGGGGCCCTGGGCAGCCTGGTTTAGCATTAAACGTGGAGGTTGGTGGCCCTGCATGTGGCAGGGGGGTTGGAGATTCATGATCCTTGAGGTCCCTTCCAACCCTGGCCATTCTGTGATTCTGTGAAGACAAAGGCTGGAGAAAGTGACTCAAAAATAGGTGAAGAAGGAAGCAGATATATTGACAAACTTCTTTTGGGGCCATCCAAATAAAGGCAGCACTACTGACCTCTCAGAAGTGCATCACAGCAGTGAAGAGCAACCTGGGAAGAACTGGTTTAGTAACTTAGTGGTAATAATGGTGACAGGAGGGCAGTTGGACTCAGTGATCTTGTTGGTCCTTTCCAAACTCGTGATTCTATGATTCTGTGATAACTACACACAGCTTTCTTGCTCTCCCCCGATCTTCTTGCAGTCTTTGGGAAAATTCTGATCTCGAGTCATTGTTGAAACATAAAGGTTTCAATAGCAATTAAAACATGCAGAAAAAGAAAAAAAAAAAAATTCTGTGTGCACACATGGCCCTTTGCAAATGAGAACTTTTCCGCAAGGAACACATGAGATTCAGCAATATGTTCCACTTAGCAAAATGACAAAATCTTTAGGGGTATGTAAAGAGCGTAACCTTTTCTTCTCTTCACTTCTCTTTACCAAGTAAAAATTGCTGTGCAAAAGGCCTTTAATGTGAAACCTCATTTCAGCTCCAGAAAGGCACTTGATTTCTGTCTATAGAGATTGTCATTTTGCTCCCCCCATCAATAATGAATGCTTTTTTCTCCTCTTTTATACTAATATTTCTTATCCTTCATGTCCTTTGTACTGTGCTGAGCTGCTGACTGAATTGCCCAGGCTTCAGAATCAAGAAATTGCTCAAAGAGTAAAGCTAGGCAAAGGGGTTTTCCCAAAGATCTCCAGCTAGAAGACGCAGGGAGCACAGCCCTGGATCAACCCCACCTGTGCCAGCAAGAACTGAAGTTCTCCACCCAGGACTCACGTAAGAACTTGCCTTTGCGTGAACACAGCCAGATAAAAATCACCTACACTTGATCCAAAAAGCTCTTTATGCATTGCAGTCACACTCCCATTCTGAATCCTACGTAACAGTTCTTGCATCCATGACCTTGGCTGTGCAGCACCACGCACATGGAAAGGCACCTCTTTGCAAACCCCATGCATGCCCCTCAGGAAGGGAAAACTTCAGTGCAGCTTGTGCCTAAATATGGTTTTTGTTTTGATCTTAGATCCTCAGTTTCCTTTGTGGTGAAGAATACGAGGGACTGATCCATTGCTGGATTCCACCTAGAGCAGCGAGACACCATCAGGAGGGAGACTGCACATAATGCTCTTGGCAGGTTTAAGCGCTCTGTACAAACGTAGAAGGAGAGAGAGAATGAGGGAGAGAGACCAGAGGCATGTAGCAGACTTCCTGACCTAGTGATTTATTTATGGCATTCCTAGAGGGGAGGAAGCCATGCAAAGATCACGAGCCTGCACGCTGCAGTAAGTGGCATGCTGGCGTATATTTAGCAAGCAACACAAGGCACTAAATCCACAGAGGATGGGAAACGTTTCCTTTCTTTGTGAATGACTGGAGTCGGGGAATGAGAGAGTTGTATTTAGAGGAGCAAGAAGGATTTCCCTTGCTTCTTTCAATAAATAAATTAATGCTTCTGCCAAGATTTGCCTTTCTTGCTTCCCTGAAAGCCAGAGTGTTTCCTCTCCCAGCACTCACCTCCCCACGCTGTCCGTCTGTCCAACCAGGTTGTTTGCAGGACTCAGCAGGGAGGTTTGGGAGGGCTGTGTGAGAAAAGCCTCTTCTCACACCGACATCTTCGGGAGATAAATTTTCCTGCAAGCTGCTGTCTCCATAGTAGGTGAACAGTGAAAGAAGTGTTGCAGAGAATAGGCCTCTGGTACAGCTCAGAAAGATGCAGAATCTGTGTCAGCTGAAACAGCAGCAGTGTTCATCAGCCTGATGAATTCCTGCATTGGCAGATGGGAGCATTTGTAAAGAACAGTATTGCACATAAGGGAACTGCACGCAGATGAACCAAACTCCCGTAAAAGCCTTATTTTGTGAGGTGCTGCGTACCCACAGTTCCTGATAAAGAGCCCAATACTTGGCCATGGCTCAAACCACCGTAGGCAGATGTCCCCCATGTGGCTCACTTTTCTTCCAGCCCAGGACCAGTTGGCAGTGGGACCTGCAGCAGCACACTGGAGACTGCACCATGCCATGGGGACAGCGATGGGGACGTGGGGTGTTCGGAGGTACTTGCCAGGCTGCTCACATCGTGAATCATTAAGCACTAAATGAACACAAAACTCTCATTTTAGAGCCGCATAATTGGACCACATCAGAAACAAGATGCTAAGCAATAGCCTGGGAAAACCCGTTTTGTTTCCAGATTTAGCTCTAGCTTTTAGAAATTCAGAAGTGGCAGAACCCACACGGCCTGTGGGTGACACGGGGCACCAAGTCTCCCAGCTGCCTCTCCAGCTGCTCAAAGATGAGGGTCTGATGGTTTAAAGAAGGCTTGAGTACATTAGCACTGATTTGACCTGAGGAGCTGGATTTAATAGGCTTAATGCTTGGACTTGCATCCCAATCAAACTTGTCTGTTGTTCATGGTGGCAGAAAAAAAATCCCATTTATAGATGGGAATATAATGATCAATCAAGCTTTATCGCTCCTGTTTCCATTCTAGCAGCTTATAACCACATAATAAAAGCACATAATGAAAACATCATAAAAAGGCACAGTAAAAATATATTCACCATGCAAGTACTGCCATCTTAGCACATCCCAGATAGAAAAGCTGAAGAATTGTTCTTGAGACTTCTGGCGTGTCCTATTAACCTCTGTAACACTACATCACACCCACCCTTTCCACTCGAGGAGTACAGTCAATTGAAATGACAGTGGTTGTGGAAGGTGCATGTAACTGTTTGGATTCAACAAACTTAGAACACAAAAGGCCTCCAGACAAGTTTCGCCTTTGCAAATTTGGGTGAGGACAGCCTCTCCAGCCCCTTTTGCTGTAGCAAGGCTCTTACTGGAAGAGCAGTGTGAGATGGGTGCTTTGTCAACACTCTTCTTCCCTGTGGTTTAAGTGAAAGGTGCATCTTCACAGCCACTGCTCTGGTTTACCATGAAGGACACACAACCAGCTTGCACTGTCTTCCTGCCCTGGCTTTATTTCTCCTTTACCAGCACTTTTTCTTACACCTCTCTCTGATGGAGTGTGGTTTGCTATCACAGCAGATGAATCAGTGCTTGAACCTGCTCTAGCACATGGGCTGGGGAATTCTGCTCAGCAACCAAAATATTGGTCCATCCTTACTCTGCTTTCTGCTGTTTTTGTTCACTTCAGGTAGCTTTCATGGTGTTGTGTTGAGATATCTTGGAAATGGTAGCCACGCTCTTGGATTTAGTTTTTCTCCTGCTTCACAATCTGGGGAAGTTGCTTGGATCAAAACCTAGTGTAGCTGGCCACCAAATGTGCCCTCTTGCCTCCTCACATGTTCCTTATGCTCACACAGTCACTAAAGTGAGCAGATAAAACAGAAATCAATCATCAGTCCCTGTATGGACTTTGTTCCTTGCTACAATGGTGACAAAAGAAGCATCTCTCACTTTAACAACCTGCACTCAAATCCTTCTTACTTTCGAAGATTTGTGTTTGTTTTTAAAGCCCTCATTGCAGTGACACTCTGAACTTAATGACTCAGCTACAGGTTGACTTGCCTTTTTTTTCTTCTTTCTAAACCACAGATGTTAGTAGTAACATCTAGGATGTCTGCACCTGGTTGTCTTCGAGATTAAAGGCAATATTGTTCCCAGTTTTTTTCCAACTGCTTATTTTGTGTCTCTGGAAGCACTCTGTACTCATGTGGCTTTGCTTTTTTTTTTTTTTTCTTCCATTACTTGTCTCTCCTTTGTTTGCTTGACACATTCACGCAGAGAAAGGGGAGAAACATAAACTAGGCAAATGTGATTTGATCACAGAGCTGGCGGGGGGCAGGCGCAGTCAATCATGCTGCCTTGAACTCTTGTGTGCAATCAGCTGGAGCTTGGCTGCACAGAGTCTTGTGAAATTACACAACACAACGATGCTGATCCAAAGCCTGCTATCAAGTGATGCCTTCATACGGTCTTGGGAGCAGGCACAGTGTGTAAATAGCCCACCCCTTACATGCGGGAAAGCTGAAGGTTTGTTTACCAAAACTGTGGGCCGATTCAGATGCAAAACAAAACTTTCTGGCCACCTTTATCTCAGAAAACATCAAACCTGAACTCCCTAGGTTTCCCTTAGACTTATGAAAAAAACAGGTTGCAAAGCAAAACCCCTGTCAGCAAAACATTGCAGGCTGAGGCGAAGCTGACCCCATCACACCAGCCCTGAATTAGGTCCCTGGGATTTTAAGCATTCCTTTATCTACTGAAAAGGAATGTTAAAAAGTTTAATTGGCATGTAATGAGATAACTGTAACAAGTTAATTAGTTCTCAATTAAATTGCGTTTACCATACGTTCTGAATGTGTTGTTAGCAATTAACGACACCTAATGAACTTGCAGTAGTGACTGAGTTTACAATGATAAGGAAAATAATAATAGTAAAGCTCACACGTGGCTTCATAGCACATTAGAAGCAACAAATGATTTAATAACTGTGCGGTTAAATCACCACATCTCCTGCAACCGCTAGAAGGGAAACAACCAATAAATTCATTCTGGCATTTCTAACAGAGTCTGGTAGGAAACAACTGGCTTTCATGACAGGCTTTCCCAGGAAAAAGAAATCCCAAAGAGCTGCAGAATTCCAAAGGAGAATGGGAAGCGAAGTTGCACGATGAAGTCAATTATGCAGTTTAGACTTAAGAAAGCAGAGTTCAGCTCATGACAAATGGTTGAGCCTGGTGGGATCAGATGGAGTTCCTGAGGTGGAAACCCAGGTAGATGAGAGAAAAGGGTTAAATTCTTTCTCAAGATCCCTTAAGCAGT